AAGAAAATCTCAAAAAGTCCATTTTTTTTTTCTTCTTTTATCACCAGTAATAATTTTAGATGTGGTAATGAGAACAATAACTGTTTTTTATTATTTGTTTGTTTGAAAAAACTGAAAGAGAAAAATATAACGAAAAATCAAATGTTATAAGAAGAGAATGATTAGCGTTTATAATAATAATAGAAATAACTTACATTTATTTCCATTTGGATTTACACACCATTACTGGCAATATAGCGAAGTTAAGCAACGTTGAACCTAGATGGGTAACCAGTAAGAAATAGCAGGTATTGTAAGCTTGGATGTGTGAGTAATGTAATGGATAATGGCTCTGGACTATTAATCTAAGAGCCGAGTTCTAATTTCCAATGCTCCTACACTACTCCTGTTCATGAACAGAGATGCCCAGGATGTGAGTCCTGAGGGAATATTTCTAACAGCTTACGGTTATGCAATTGACAAGCAAATCTATGGTACTGAATGGGATACATACTCTCATCCACTGAAATTCATCAAGACAAAAAGTATTTACTTGCTACACATCTAATCAATTAAGGTCAGAAGCTATAAGGGTAATGCCTAGTATAACAACAGGATATTATTATTATTAATAATATTATTATTAAAATTATTATTATTATTGTTGTTGTTGTTGTTTGATGTTGTAGTGTAAGCAAACGGTCTGTTGAGATTTGGAAGAAACACCTAACCAATTTCTCTCCCAACAACTACGGGGATAATAGATTGAGAGGGGAAAGAGACTGGGGGGTAACAAAAATAACACTGCCTCAGAAACCACAGCAACTTCAGAAACAAAATGCCCACAGGACCAAATTCACAAGACATCATGTATTGTCAATTGCCAGCTGCTGTTTTCCCTTGCTTTTATTGGCATGAGGCATTTTACAAAGACCTGGATCTTGACCAGTTTCAGAGAGGCCTGTATCCGGCTAGACATGCCAAACTGTCCAGCTGCTAATAAGAAAAACCCAGATGTAACTAGTGTTGACAAACATGTCTGCATGCAATCTGAGGCCTCTTTTGCATCTGTACTAAAGTACATTCACCATATTTAATTAAAAATAAGATTTAAAGAATTGGAAAAGAAGAGAAAAATTAGATTATCAAAAGGAAAATAAATGATAGTAATATTAGTAATTATATAATAACCATTATAATGATTTTCATTATTATGATTTTTGTTATGCCTGTTGGTTTGGTAAAATGTAGGTTTCTTGATCAGGAACCTGCATGTCATCTACAGTATTTCTATGAAATTGGTCAACAAACACTGTTGGATCTGTGCCAACAGAGCTATTTTTGAAAATACAATTGAGCATGCTTAGAATATTGCTGCCACATATGGTCTGGTACTCCAGCTATTTACCTTGAGTTTCTTGATAAAATCCAAAGAAGAATCAGCAATATTATTGGTCCTGATCTGGCAGCTGAGCTTCAGTCACTTTCCCACTGCCATAAGATTGCCTCTCTGTGACTTTTCTATAAATACTTTTATGGTAATTGTTTGGATGAGCTCTTCACTATGGCACCTAGACTTTTTAATTTAAGCACAATACTAGACTGGTATCAAGATCTTTCAATTTACAGTTGAGCTGGTTAGATGTAACCATAAATTCTATACTAGCAGTTTCTTTTCTTGTACTTCTCACTTGTGGAATGCCCTTCCGATGCCATGATTTCCAGCAAACTTTAATCTGCAAAAATTTAAATGCAATGTCAGACGTTATCTATCAATCCCCAAATTACTCTTTCCCCTTCCCACTCAATATTAATGTTTCTGTTCTTAATTCTTCCACACTCAGTAACCCCCTTATGTCTTAGGGGCTTTACTGCCTTGCATGGGGTGATACCGATTAAAAAAAAAAGAGCAGCCAGTTGGAACAATTTTTTTCTCCAGATTTTTCTTTTATTGTTTTTCAAAAGGTGGCAAAAACAATAACAATAATAGATATATTGTTTTTTATCTATTCTTCTGATTTCCAATAATGTAGTTGTTAACCTGTACAAAACATGGGGATAATACCCGTCCCCCACAACAGCTCGCTCTCTTTCTCAACAGTTTTTTCATTACAAATAAAAAGAAAGCAAAAAAAATTTGTAATGTGTCAATTTTTAAACAGTAAGCTGTGATAAAGGCTCCCCAAGTTCAAACTGGCATTCCTTCAGCAGGGTTAAGGTTGAAAATCAATAGCAAACTTGATTCACAAATTCAAAGGATATATTTATCACTACATATAGATATTTCTGGCATACTGATGTATAAAATTATATACATATATATATATATATATATATATATATATATATATATATGTGTGTGTGTGTGTGTGTGTGTGTGTATGTATTCACAGTGGGGAAAATAAGTATTTCATCCCCTGCTGATTTTCTGAGTTTGCCACCTTACAAAAATAGGAACAGTCTATAATTTTCAGGATAGATCCATCTTGAAAGTGAGAGATAGAATATAAAAAAAAATTAGAAAATCACATTATATTAATTTTTGAACATTTATTTCATTTTTATTAAAAAAATAAATATTTCACCCCCTACCAACCAGCAATAATTCAGGCACCACACACCAGTTATGTGACAAGGAGGCATACAGACTTGTCCTATTACTCAATTATTACTCCTAATCAAGTACTAATTACCTGTATAAAAGACACTAGTTCACAGAATCCTTCAATGAATCAGAATCTAATCTCTCCACAATGGGCAAGTTGAAAGAATTGTCTAAGGACATCCAGGAGAAAATTGTATACTTGCACAAGACTGGAATGGGCTACAAGACAATTGGCAAGCAGCTAGGTGAGGATTCAACTATTGGTGCAATAATAACAAAATGGAAGAAACACCAATTGACTATTGTCTCATTTTCAGGACGGACCTAAAGACAACTGTTCCTATTTTTGTAAGGTGGCAAACTCAGAAAATCAGCAAGGGATGAAATACTTATTTTCCCACTGTATATAAATAAATACATATATATATATATATATATATATATATATATATATATATATATATATATATATATATAGTAGTGAAAATAAGTATTTCATATATATATATATTGTATATTTAATCTACATGTACTAATGTGTGTGTGTGTAAAAAGTAAGCAGTAGGAAGAGGACTCATTGATACAGAGTATTACATTGATTACATTGACACTAGATGAGGGTATTTAAATGCTGGATTAGGGAGTGTAAGAAAAGATTAATTACAACAAGCAAAATTTGTATAAGAACAGGAAGACAAGCAGAGAACCAAGAAACCCTCAAAAGATTGAAAATAGCGAGAAAAATGACTCTATGGGAATTTCAGAAGACAACATGAAAGAATTGCAAATAAGACAATATAGACATGGTGGTCTGGGGAAGAAAAATTAAAAAGAAAGTAAATCACTGAAAAGTTGACACAGATATGATGTGGAAAAATGACACATACAAATTCTGCAGAGGCAGACTTGAGTATAATATAACTCAATGGAGCAGCATAGTTTTATAAGAAAATAAATATAACCATGATTGGTTGGGAAGAATTATCCACTGGAAACAATGCAAATGATTGTTTTTAATCCTTTGATTCTTTTTAATCTTAGTTGCTTTCACAATGTTACTCATGCTATTAAAAACTGACCCTCATTACAAATGGTACTGAATTTATAGTTAGCTAATACCATACTTCTATTAACTTTAATAGTTCTAGTTTTGTTGGATTTAATCAAAACCATATATCAACATTAAGTTAAAAGTAAAGTAATTAAAGAAATTACAAATTTAAAAGGATATGATTATATTTGCAGAATTCTAATTATATATCTTTAAAAAATGAATTGGGCTATAGTACAAAAGTGTTTTTGTATATGAACTTGGTGTTTTTCAATTTTCAATTACTCTGTTTTAATTTTTTTTTAAAATAAGTATTGATATCTCCTTAAATAGTTTATCATAAATAGCATCCATGACCTCACTTCAATGAAATTATTTTATTGTTTTGTGGAATTTTTTTGCCTTTTTTTCTTCTTTTTTGATGAATGTCAACAAATTAAACGATGAACACTTTTCATATCTTTACTTCTACTCTTGTTGCATAGGCTCGTTCAAAAGAACACACAAATGAGATGTGAAACATTGGATAAATTGGAAGTTTATCACAATGTACTAATGTACATGAACTTTTTGGGATGTGGATTTTCTTTATTTGTGGCCCAATGTACTTAAAATTATTTTTTATCCCGAATTCTATATTTTCCAATGTACTGTATATCTTTTCATAAAATTTGTGCAATTTTCATTAAATTTATATATTTATTAATTTATCAACAATACAATATTTCTGCTTTTGGCTTTTTAATTTTATTGAACAATTTTATTGTCTTTAGGTCACATTTTAAAGAAATATCTAACTGTAATAATTTAATTTTTTTTTTATTTAATCTATAATTTATAGATTATAGTTTATATATTTATGTAATTATAATTTAATCAGTTGATTATATTCCCTTTTAGATTACTACAAAAGATAAAATTTTTAAAGATTGTTAGAAAAATTTCACAAATAAATAATTCATGAATGAAAATGACAAAAGTTTACAGAAAAAGAAAGAAAATGTTAAATAAAAAGAAATAAAGAAAATAAAAAAATTGACAGGAAAGAAAAGTTAGAAAAAGTTTTAAAATACAATTTTTTCCCTTGATGCAGGTGTGTGACAGTAGAAGATTTTATTTCAATGATTTCAAAGAATAACAAAGCTTGGATTTTAGTTTACCTTCTATAAGTAATACATATACATTTTCTGTAGATAGTGACAAAAATAGCAAGAAATAGACCAGGAAGAAACCTAAAATGTGCCTGAATCATTCCATATTTTTACTACAATCACCAGTTTTTCATTCACTTGTGATTTTATTTTTGTTACTTTCAAGCTTTTTAAGCTGCAGTAATTCTCAGATGAATAGTATTTTTATGAAAAACTACACAGAGAAAGAAAAAGAAAGACAAAAGAATGAATAAAAAGATGAATTGGATGAATAAAAAGGGAAGAAGAAACAAAAATGGGAAGTGATAGGATCATAATAAGAAAAAATAAAAGCAGAAATAAAATGTGGAACATGAAAGAAAACAAAGAAAAAAATGAAGGAATGAATGAATGAAAGAAGAAAAGGATTGAATAAATAAAATAGAAAAATGGAAAGAGATAGAAAAATAATAATTAAAAAATAAAAGCAGGACAAAAATAAAAGAAAATAAAGAAAAAGAGAAAAATAAAGAATAAATGAAGGAAAGATTAAAATAAAGAATAAAAGGGAAACTAAAAACAAAAATATAAATGGACAGGAAAATAAAAACACATGAAAGAAAATAACGAGAAAAAAAAGAAGTGAAGGAATAATAGAATGAAAAAAAGAGCAATTAAATGAAAAAAAAGAATTGAAGAAAAATGGAAATATATAGAAAAAAATTAATAAATATGAATGAAGAAAGAAAATATGGAATATGAAAGAAAGATAAAATTAATAAAAAAGAAAAAACTGGATAGAAAAATAATAAATGAAAGATAAAAACAAAAAATATAATAAAATGTTGATCATGAAAGAAAACAATAAGAAAGAAAGAAAGAAAGAAAGAAAGAAAGAATGATTAAATGAATAAAAAGGAAAGAATAAACAAAAATGAAAAGTAATGGAAAACAAAAATAAAAATAAAAGTAGAAAGAATATATTGAACATAAAACAATGAAAAAGAAAGAAAGCAAAAAGAAAGAAAGAAAGAAAGAAAGAAGAAAACAAAGATGAAATGAATAAAAAAGGAAAGAAAAAATAAAAGTGATAAAAAAATAGTAAAATAGAAGCAGAACAATGTTGAACATGAAAGGAAACAATAAAAATGAAAGAAAAATAAAAAACAAAAAATAAAGATATGATGAATAAAATGGAAAGAAGAAACAAAAAAGGCAAAGTGAAAAAAACTAATTGAAAATTGGAAACATTTCATTCTATGAAAAGAAAAATGAAAAAGATAAGAAAGGATATTAAAGAATATGAGTTCAAGGAAATAAAAGGAAGAAGGAAGAAAGAGAAAACGATTTAGAGAATTAATAGATAAAGAGAAAGTAAGAAAAATTTTCGAATTGACAAAGAAATATATACTGTTTGATTTTTCTTTTTTATCACAAGTGCATTTTTATTCTTAATTTTTTGTTATTTTTTTATCATCTTTCAGATTTATATTTACTCTTAAAATGCAGAAAAAATATAAAATGATTTTGTTGTGAGAGGCAAAACATGATAAACAAATTGCCACTAGGTCAATACTGTGTTCTGGTATGCAAGACTATAGCTATAACAGCACGATCATGATAAGGCAATAAATTTGTATGACACTAATGTAGAAATGTTGAATGCATACAAGCCAATGGTGATATTTAAATTAGATATCCCTTCCTTATCTGATCAGGTTCTTTATTTTTCCTACAGGGATAAATTCAACTTGTGGTACTGAGTGCACTTATCATATTGTGTCATTTGGGTGACTATAATCGTCTTCTTCTATCAATGTTGTTTATCATTGCGATTATCAATGTGATTATTTCTTGATCAGTTCCTATCCATCCTTATATACAGCCATCTAACCAATTCACAGTGATATGCTGCAGTTGGGATCCTTGTGAGTAAGCAGATCAAAATATTGTTTTGGTAAGGATATTTGTCTGTCTCAGAAGACAGTTCACTCTCTTCCCATTAAAGACTAGATCCAAATACTCTAATGAGCTACAACTCATTACTATAAAGACACATAATTTCAAAAAAAATTATAAGTCATAGCTAGCAGAAGATTTTTTATTATATATACATTAGTAGGTTAGAAAATGAAACATGGCATCAAATGCTGGTGGCATGAAGGTCAGAAACTGGCAAGCCATTTTAATTAGATTCTCTTTTGTGTAAATGTCCTTAGGAAAGGTATGAATCCATTTCTTCTCCCACAGCTATGGATTAAATAGTAGAGCAGATTAGGCTCTTATTGGTTGGCAACCACTCTAAGAAAAGGACAACTATGGATTCAAAAAATGTTTTGGACATAAGGGTAGTAAATTTATCCCCTAAAAGATACTTGCTACAGGAACCCCAGCAGCAATGGCTGATTAAACCGTGATCCCATACTCCTCACCTGAAACTACAGGACTAAGTGAAGGAACCACATTATCAAATAGTCACAAATTTTACTGTGTAGTGATAAATGGTGACACTATTTTGACCAGTCTACATACATGAAGTATCAAGACTGTTCACTACATCCTATTTCACCTTACAACATTAATACAATAAAAATAAAAAAATGAAATATATATGACAATTAGTGAGAAAAATTCAAATTTATACAAAAAACAAGTGATTTATACTTGGAACCAAGTTACAGTGTAGACTGCAACCAGAAAATAAAACATGATCTGAAATGAAAAACATTAAAATTTCAAAATAATCCTACAGCAGCAAACAGCCATTTGAATTAACACTCAAAGATTTTAAATAACACTTCATCCAACAAAATTTTGAATGGAATTGTTCAATGTAAGTTTCACTTTAAACTTAAAGTAACTTTTCAATGGCTGTACAAAAATTATGAAGATATATTTAAAAATGAATTTAAAAACTGGTCAGAAAACCCCAAAAGTATTTCTTGTTAAAAAAAAAAAAAGGGGTTACAGAATAAAAAATATTCTCCAATCTCTTTTTAATTTCCAATTGTAAAATGTGTGAAGGGAGTAAATTTGTTTCACAAAGCAGTACTCAATTTACAATATCTTGATTAGAGAGTGGAGTAATTCTTTTTTTTAGACTTCATATTGAAATTGTCAAGTCAAAGATTCTATTCACACATCATAATAGAAGATGCTACACTTTCTTGTAAAAGTGACAATGAAATGCAAATATATTCACAAAAAACAAATGGATTCCAGGGTACAAAAAAAAATTAATGAAATCATTCACACATAAAATGAAATTATGCAGTTAAGAACAATAAGTAATCTCTCTCTCCCTCTCCTTCTCCCTCTCCCTCTCTCTCTCTCACTATATATATATATATATATATATTACATAATAGAGAAATCCCAAATTACCTTGTATGCTCTGTAATAATAAATACGTTAAGCTCTTTTGTTAATCAGTTTTAATATTTTATATTATTAGAATCCACTTGGATTATATAGCAACAGATTTATAACCTGTATCATATATATATCAATATCAATAAATCTATATCTATCTATCTATCTATCTATCTATCTATCTATCTATCTATCTATCATATATATATATATATATATATATATGCATACATTACTTATTGTTCTTAATTACATAATTTCATTTTATGTGTGAAAAATTTCAATAATTTTTCCCCTCCCTATGTCTATCTCTCTTTCGCCTTCCTCCAGAATTATATTGAAATCTCTGTCTTTATACCCTTTTCTTCTTTCCTCTTTTAATATTAAGACTTTTTTCCATTTTCTTTTTTTCCTTCTTTTCCTTTTCCATGTGTCTAAATAAATTGAACTCCATTTATTTATGTAAAACTGATCTGAAGAGATGGACAATTGAGGTCCACAACATAAATTATAACCTGACCTGATGGATTTTAAGGATTCTGTATTCATTTATATATATATATATATATATATATATATATATATATATATATATATATATATATATATATATAGGAAAAATTTTTTGTGACACATTTCATACTTTAGGACTTCTCTGGATTGAATTTGTCAATTATTTTTGGATTTTGACATTACCGAATTAGTCAATATTTTTACATGACTCAGTATTTGTTTAGTAAATGTTGGAATCAGTATTATTATTGATTTGTTAGTATTATTAGATTAGTCAAGATTGGGTTATTGTCTATTGTTTTATTAATCTGTATTGTTCTATCAGTCAATATTGTAGGATGAGTCTCTGTTCTTAAATTAGTCAATAATATCCAATTTTTCAGTATTGTTAGAAGAGTCAATATTTTTTCAATTATTTTTGTTAATATTGTTAGTTTAGGGAATATTGTTTGATTTTTAATATTCAATGATTCAATGGTGTTTGATCAGGCAATATTGCTATATTCTGACTAAATTTTAATAACTTTATTTTTTATAATAAAAAACTTATTTCCAAATTATTTCATGAATATTAAAAATAGTGGATGAATATTCATAAAAAAAATTTAAATTCTTCCAAATAAGTAAAATACTCAGACATTTTTTAAGGGAATTAATTGTGCCACTGCCAAATATTATTACCTTTAAATCCTTATATGTGAAAAACATAGAATTTAAATGCAAGAGAATTTCTTTATGTAAATTTACTGATAATACAAATGTTGGATCAATCCTTAAAAAGTTTATCAAACTGGCACAGAGGAATGGAAGAGAAATTTTATTTGAAATTTGATGATGTCTCATCATCCTTGTTCTATAAATAATTCAGATGAGTATTCATACCCAAGTAAATTTTAATAAAGTTTCAACCCATTTGTTTAATCTGAGTGAATTAGGCATATTTAAAAGTTTTCATTTGTTTAGTGTGTCTTCATGAAAATAACAATTGAATCAAAAATAAATTTTTTGGAGAATTCTTAATAAAAAAGTGAATATAGAATGAAAATATAATTTTTTAATAAATTTTATAAATTTGTAAATTTTTGTAAAATGATATTCAGTGTCCTTTATTTTAATTGTTTTGATTTTTAAAAAACATTTTGGCCATGTTTTCTTTAAGCTGTATATTTCTAATCTTCTCATATTTAAATTTTATCTGATCAGCCTACACTTTATCGAAATATAATTCTATAGGGAACTATCATTTAAGAAATACCTGAAATCTGTCACTTGAACCATTTCTTATCCCATTTCATTTCTTTAAGGATCTCATACCATAATTTTATTTAAGTAAACCATATCCCAATTTCATACCTGAAAATCATCACTTGAACCATCTCTTAACCCAATTTCATTTCTGTAAGGATCTCATACTGCAATTTTATTTAAGTGAACTCCATTCTATATCTCTTTAACCATTACACAAACCGATTTTAATTCCTTAAATCTTCCTTATCCCAAATTTGTTTGAAATGTCTCTCACTTCATTAAGTTTCCTTCTTAACACAATAATTCCAAACCTAACATACTTTTACCTGATGTTGTAAGAATTTCAGTTTAATGAGGAATGAGAGATGCCAAATTAATGTTGCATATAATAAGAGAAGAAATATAAAACAGGCTTTGTAGCCTGAAGGGACAAACAAATTGCTTAAACACTGAGTTACTTTTGCTTCCAGCGAAAGACTAAGGCAGCAGCAGAGGAAATATGGGTAATTGACGCTTACCCATTCAAGCAAACTCAAACCCTTCTTTATAACTTTACACCCTTATCCAATAGCTCCCTTTACCCAACAAATATATATATATATGTATATATATACATGTATATATATATATATATATATATATATATATACATGTATATATAAATTAAATATATATATATATATATATATATATATATATATATATATATAAATATAAATTAAATATAAATATATAAATATATATATATATATATATATATATATATATATATATATATATATATATATATAGTGAGAGAGAGAGAGAAGGAGAGTTTAGGTCATATACACCAAACACATGCATTTATGTAAGCATGGATGATGCTGAAAAGTTATCAGCCCAATCCACTTACCAAAGATTGACAAATATATAAGATTGAGATTGACAGATAGATATGAAAAGATTAGATAGATAAATAGATAGATATGAGTTCATATTTATCAACATATATAAAAAAG